CGGACCGGAAAACTGTTTGGCTCAAAGGGACGAGTCTGGGCTTTTTAGTCAAAGACACAAGATGGAGCCGCTAAATATGCCTTACTTGTCCATCCGGTTGTGCATATCCGAGCTGTACCGGCTTCACTTCGGCGCTTCGTCTTCCAACCGCGCTATGTACACACATTCAACCGATTTATGTGTACGCATTTGGGATTAGTTATCACCTTGTGTTGGCCCTGGCACACTTCTGCCTATCTGTCATAGTTGGACGCACTGTTTCCCAATTTGCTTTCTCGTCTTGTCTGTGATTGACCAGCTTTTTGATGCTTTCTCATTTGGGCAGCTCGTTCCGACCTCCACGGCCAGTAGGCCGGAAAGTCAATCGGCAATCAAGATAACTTTGTACCTCAGCGTAAATGTTATGAATCTGCCCATAAGGCATACATAAATATGGTAACCCTTGGATGAAGCTTGCAACGGGCACAACTGACAGTGCCTTCAAGTGTCAATTTGTCTGGGCGTTCTTTGGCCATTCCAGGCCATCTGTGCACCTCCCATGCCTGTAGCTCTGTTTGTGCGGCTCTGTTTACCGACCCTCAGTCGGCCAACCAGCCATGCCATATTTCGGCCTGGGCTCGGCCGGCTTCTGATGCTGGCTGAGTCATTCCGTCCAGAGGCCTGCCCCTGCCGTCATGTAAACCCATCCTCACAACAGCCCCATTCCCTGCCCTCTCCTCCCCCTCGCCACTCAGCCGAGCTCCGCGAGATCGCCCTTTATCTGCTTCCATCTCACTACAGACACCACACGTCCAGTCGGACAGGTGTAAGGATGAGAAGTAGAGTACACCTTTGACCTTACTCAAGCACTCCCACCTCATCATTGTACTGGCCATCCCGCCGTACCCACCGTATAGGTGTTGACGCCACTTTGCAATCTTAATCGAACATATGAGTCACATTGGTAAAGTCGTCTTGAGGGTCAACTTAAGGACATGGTCGTTAAATGAATTTTACTGCATGCTAAATGCTAATGACTATGCCAATAAAATCTATAAGTATAGCTTTATAAGGCCGGAAATATGAGGAGATGATGCGATATTGCTGTTTAGATGGTATTGGAACAAGATAAGCTTGCCTAATATTTGCTACCGAGAGTGTGTTTCACCGCACAAAGTGCATTGCATCGAGGATTTCATGGAGTGCATACGGTGACGATATGGTATTTTTATGCAGAAGATTTTTTAATTGCTCCTCATGTGGTTTTACTACTCACTTGCACACTACTCTCGCCAATGTGCTCGATGACAAGTGCATCGAGCACTTTTTATTAAATGAAGAAGAACTGGGCTTCAAAAAATGC